AGTTGGCTGCGCAGGCGCAGGACTCGGCCTATGCGAAGGCCTGGAACATCGCGAGTGTATTGATGTAAGGACAGACGACACGATCAACAAGGAACTGGAAATCCCGTTTGCAATGGGAACACGCTGCCCATTCACTGCGGCTTTGAAAACCCAATGCTCCTTAACTATGGGCTGAAACTTTGCTCGGGAACAATTGCCTTCGTCCACTGCTATCCTAAACCCTAAAACCCTAAAACCCTAAATCCAAAACCCTAAAACCCTAAACCCTAAACCCTAAATCCAAAACCCTAAAACCCTAAGACCCTAAACCGTAAAACCCTAAACCCTAAAACCCTAAAACCCTAAACCCTAAAGCCCCCCCGGCCACAGCCCAAAGCGTCAACGCATCGCAGAGGCCGCGCTGGCGGCGTCCGCGGATCCTCGCCAGGTCTCCGCGCGAAGCGTGGGCAAGAGGCCAGCCTGGCCATGTAAAAAAGAATAACAATAATAACAATAGTAAAAAATAGTGCTAATAATGGTTATATTGGGAATAAATAATAATAGTAATAATAATAAAATAATGGTAATAGTAATAGTAATAGTAGTAATAATAATAAAGTATTCTCGGCCAATGCTTAGTTCATCGCCTGAGGCAGCTGTACCACTCTACCATAGTCTTGCCGTACAGGTTGAAGTCCCAGATCCCATCCACCAGGTTTGACCATGATTTTGTATAAAGGTACCCCCTAGGCCTGACGGATCATCAACCTGCGTGCCCCAAGCCCAAAACCCTAAGACCCTAAGACCCTAAAAATCCTAAACCCTAAACCCTAAAACCCTAAAGCCCTAAACCCCTAAACCCCTAAAACCCCTAAAACCCCTAAAACCCCTAAACCATCCTGTGGGGTTCTTTGTCGTGGGATTTCCGGCAGTCGGAGCCAGGCTCGGGAGTTCGGGGATCCTTCATCGGAGCCTTGGTCTGGGCTCCTCTTGCTAGCAAGAATGGATTCAAATCTGGGTTTTAGATAGTTTAGGGTTTAGGGTTTAGATAGTTTAGGATTTAGGGTTTGGATAGTTTAGGGTTTAGGGTGTACCAGGAAGAATGGGTTTATGCCTGGGTTGTTACGAGGAATACTAGTTGGATGTATCTGGAAGAATGGGTTTATGTCTGGGCTGTCACGAAGCGTAATGGGTCTATGTCTGAGACAGAGTCAGTTTAAACTTTGGGCTGTTATAGCGTGTAGGGTAGGGTAGGGATCTTGATTTGGCTGATCTGAACACCTTGAACCCCAACTTTCCGCGAACGCAACTTGATGCAAGTTAGGCACGCAATCTCAAAGCTCGCGAAACCGTCAATCCAAACCCTAAACCCTAAGCCCTAAACCCCAAACCCAAGACTTTTGAAGTAGAGAAGTCTGGAGGACCCCTCTCATGTGCTTCGCGGCTGGCGGCGATCTGGAAGTTTGCCAGGCAGCTTCGGACATCGGGGTCTTTTTGACTTGCTGGTTCATGGGTTCGGAGGCTTGGGGTTTAGGGAAACGGGTTTAGGGTTCGGAGGCTTGGGGTTTAGGGTCGGGGAGGGGTGATTGGGGATGTCGAACTTGGCGCCTAGGGTGGTTTCCGGGTCTACGAGGCTGCGGCTGCGGCATTGGTAAGGGAAACTACGGCTTGCTCATAGCTGGCAGATAATGGCTGTCGTTCACCCCACCTTTGCCTGAGGTTCAACCCCTGAGCAGCTTCCTATTATCAACCCTGATATCCCTGATTGCATACCAAAAACCCTTGAACCCTGAACCCTAGTCTTCGCGTCCTCCTTAAACATATTGACAGAGTACACCTTTATCAACAAGGCCTTGTTCAGAGGATGCATTAGGGCCGCTGCTTTATCTAGAGCTTAGAAAACCTCACCCCTACGCCCCCAAAACATTTCAAGCCCCAGTCCTAGAAAGCTCTTGGTCCTCAGTAGTTACCAGTCCCTTCAGCGCCCAGGGGTGTATGTCCTGGGTTGCGTGTGTCGCGCTATGTCTCTCCCTCTCTCTCTCTGTCTCTCTCGCTCTCTCTCCCTCCCCCGCTCTTTCTTCTCTCTCCATACATGTGCGTAAAAGTGTGCATACATATGCATACACGTACAATTGCACACGGAAATTACATTTGCATGTGCAGAAATTTGCATCTATTGTACGCACGTGTTAGTGTTACTCTGTCCTATAGTATAGGTTATACAGCACAGGCATGTGTGTTTGTTTGTGCACGTGTATGTATATGTATGAGTTTATGTCATAACTGTGTTTGTTTGCACGCACTTGCATGCCTGCATCTCACTCGCATGGGCTAAGAAGGGCACCTCAAGCCTGGACCAGTTGGGATCTCAAAACCGGGCCGTGCAGGCATTGGTGGAGAGCGGTGCCGAGGTAGGGACTTCGGGGGCGTGAGGGGTGGGCTTGAGGAATTCGGGGCATCTAATTTGTCGGTTAACTGGCATATGTTTGGCTTGACCATTTGTATGCTGCGGGGTTTTCGGTCAGGATAGAAGCCTGAGGGCATACCCAAAATGCCACGTGTGTTTTAGCATAATACATTTTCATATAACCGTTTCTACCCATCCAGACTAAGTTTTGCCTTTCTTTCGGCATACCTGCTTTCATCCAGTCATCGGCGATAAATCCAAATTCGCTTTGTTTCTTAGCTTTGAAACTAAATGTTTTAGACTTTACAAATTTAACTATTCTATACAATCATTATTGTTAATCTTTGTAATATTTTCCTTTAACTTACTATCAGAGCAAGAACCGACTGAACCATGAACATAAATACCTGTGTTCGAAGCTTCCAATACATTAGCACCTGCTGCACTTGTAAATACAATGCCGTCGCTGCTCGGATTATCTATTTTGAATCTTTGACTTCCTGATATATCCGGACATGTAATATCCACGTTCCCTAGTAAATTAACATTACCATTAGTTGTAATTTCCGGGGTTGATGCTTCCAATCCAGCTGTGCGCGGGGATTAGAGTCTCCCATTCGTGATGACGACATTTAGTTTCCGATTGTGTGCTCAGGGCCGGGACACACAGAATAAGTCAACCCTTAACCTTGAACTCCTTCAACACTCCTAAGCCCTAGCCCCTAAACTTTTTACCATGAAGCCAGAAGCCCTGCAACCTCGGATGCTAAAACCCCTAAATTCCCTCAGTCTGTCTATATCATCCCTACTGACCAAAAGCCATATAACCCTGAAAATGCTGGCGCCTCAAAGCTGAACCTACTGGTGCCTCGAGAAGCGAACCCGAAAGGTGCAGTGGATAGATGGCTACTGCTGTAATGCCATCCACTATGCCCAATCCCGGAAGAGGCGCGACATCGGAGTTCTTTGGGGTGTTGGGCTTTCCTTAGGTTTAGGATTTTGTGAGGTCTACGGTTCATGAACCGCCCCTTCCAAGGCTCAGAGGGTCATAGGGGTAGGTACATCGCTCTTTGCTTATTTTTCATCAAAGCATTGTGGGAAGCCCTGTTGGGTTCGCCGTTGCGGACTCATGGTGAGAGAGAAGCTTGGGTGGGAGACGCCGCTGGGTTTTGGCCAACAAACGGACAAAGGGTTTCTGCATGACTCAGGACTTGTGACGCCCTGTCTAGTAGATACCAATAGGCTTGCTCTTGTCAATCTGCCAAGGTCAGACGTGGTGGAGTACTTGAAGAGTGTTCGAGTCGTTACGGAGGCACATGCCGCTTGTAGAACTGGGCGAAAGCACGCAGAATGACTGCCGCAATCGCACTAGGTTATAATTAGAGTATACTATAGTGGATCACAGTAGATCACAGTATGTCATAGTGTATCATAGCAGTTTTATGGTATGTTCGAGTATATGATCGAGAAAGATCATATATCACCGCGCAGTATAGTTTATAGCAAGGGAAAGCGTCCGCTCGTTCGAGGAATCGAGTGGCAACTTCACTGGTGGGATGAGGGCAACAATTACTAGTAATACAGTCAGTACTGAAAAAACCTAAATAAACTCTAAACCCTAAACTCCTAAACTGGTCCTAAACCCTAAACTCTACCCTCTAAACTCCACATAGGGGCCCTGTTGTTGTGGTCGCCGAGCAGTAATAGTTGAAACATTTTTCGGTCCTAGCCCCCAAACCCTATAACCCCTGATGAGTGTTAATCTGCTAAATTCTGCTGTGCACCCCAAACCCTAAACCTTAAGCACTAAAATCGGAACTCTACACCGAAATAGGACATATTTCTGAGCTTGGACGATTCCGATTTCCTGGTTCCGTGGACTATGATCAAAAGAAACCCTGCATCATAGATCCGAAACTTTTCTAGTTGCGTGCGGAACGCGATTTCCTCCTGCCTCTGCTGCAAACGTCTACGAGCTGAGTTTCATGAATCGCTGGATCTCAGACTGCGGATCTTCGCCAGGTGCCGCTGAAGCACACGTGCGCGCAAGATGTGACACAGTACCTCGTCAAGGCGGTCCAGGACATACTATAATATAACATTATAATATAACATAGTAGAAGATAATATAATATACTATAATATAATATAATATAATATAATATAATATAATATAGGACTCCAGAAAAAATGGGTTGGGTCAAGTCGGAGGGTGCTGATGGCGCGGCTGCTGCTGCTGTTGCCGCTGCTGCTGCTGCTGCTGCTAGAGCTGCTTGTGAGACTTGTAGGAAATTGCTGGAACAAATTGTCGAACAAAGCACTGCTCTAGACCCGGGAACAGAAATCACTAGCATGATTCTTTCCGAGAGAGAGACAGAGAGATTGAGAGAGATAGAGATAGGGGTAGAGATAGAGAGACGGAGACAGGGAGAGTGGGATAGAGGGGGAGCGAGACAGAGAGTGAGAGCAGCAATCTTGCCCCTGCACAATCGGGGTGGTTGCATATCAGCACTCGAAGGTGGACGCAATCAGGTCTTGAGCCAGACAGCCGGTCAAGCATGGACAGTTTCATGCAACACAGGTCAAACAGACAGACGCGCAGAGAGCCGCAGAGGACGGGTGCTGTGGTGCCGTCCATCGGGCAGCGACACACATCCGGACTTTGCAGGCCGTTTCAGATTGCAGTTTTACAGGTTCAGATTCAAGGTCTTGCAGTCTTGGCCGTATTCTCCGAGCTTGAGGCCTCACACTGTTTCATACCCATGATTTTGCACGTTGATGTTTAGCGATGTCTTCGTGTGGGTGCTCGCTTGAGCATTTCAGGCCTGGCGGTTTGGAGGAGCTTTGTGGTCGTAGTCTTGAGTGCTACAGCATCAAACCCCGGGGGCTTTTTTTCTGGGCCCGACCAGCCTTCGACTTAGATTCTAGTTGCTCTAGCTTCTAGGTCCAAAAATTAGGCATGCCCGGGTGCAGAGCCGCACTTGTTAAATCACAGATGTGGAGAAAGCCGCTTTTGTGCAATTACCTGCAGCAGAAGCAGCTTGCACCCAGAGCAATGGTTATTGTTTGCAGTTATGATACTTTGTGTAGACACACATAGGCGCACTGCTTCTGCACATACAGTTCTGGGTGCTTCACAACAGTCTGTACATGCAAGTCTGTGCATCAACCCAGATTCGTTGTTCTATTATAAATCGCTTGAGTGTTTCATTCCATGGACCATCCGAGCCTTACGATGCCCTGAGATCTGTCGTGGGGTTTTGAAGTTTCTTGCTGTCAGATATTGGTATGCGATTCAATCCACATGTTTGAAAGGGGATCAGGCATTTCAACAGCTTTAATATAGGGGCCTTAATAATTAGAACAGGGTTTGGGGGTATAATATACTCTAATTATATATTAAGGAACTCCCCCAAAACCCCATTCCAATTATGAAGGCCCCTACATTACGTCCACAGCCTTCGGTAACTGGTGGAACCCCTCGACTGCACGGCCCCCAAACTCTAAGCTGACGTAAGTCCTAAGCTTACGACTAAATCCTAAGTACTACAGGGGCCTAAAAAACTACCAATACTATTTTGTTGGGGGTGTTCCTTCTTATATGTATAGTAGAATATAACCAAAATCCTCTTCTAATTATTCAGGCCCCTGTAGTAAGCACCCGCAGGCTTCGATCGCAGAGGAAGACGAGAAGCCTCAGCTACGGGACGTTCTCAGGCAGGACACCCTTCTCCAGACGGTCCTTGTTGTGACCGTTGTGCCGGTTTGGGGTTCAGGCTTCAGGGTTTCGCTGGTGTTAAATTTTGGCTATTTCGTGTCAGTTTGCTGTTGTCTTTTCTAGAATAGCACCGCGTCTGAAACTGTGTCTTCCTGTTGTTAACTTTCCACTCTATGTGGGGTGCATCCTGGAGAGCCGTGGCTTGTATTAAGGGAACAGGAAGTCTCGCATGAAGCTATGGTTGAAGGACCATGGGTCACCCAGCCTTGGAGAACTAATCGACTGCAACATTGAACTTGTGTTGTGGAGTTTGTGGCTTTGTTGGCATACTTCGCGGCGTTTTTTTAGATGGATTTTGTGAGGTTTGCGCGGAGTTCTTTCAAGTGGTGGTTTCCGGTGCAGTTGTTCGTTTCCGGCTTGAAGGTTTGGGGATTGCGGTGGCTTCTTGCGTTGGGGTTTCAAGAAGTTTTTAGGCAGCCTGCATGTAACACATGTTGTTGACAGGACAGGCATGGCCTCACATGTACCTACAGGGTCGCGTACACAGATACTCAGTACAACCATATAGCCACAAGAGAGTTCGAACAGAGGACTGACAGGCAGAGGAAGACAGGCAGACTGACCCACGAACAAACATGCCAACATTGAGGGAAAGACACAAACTCACACACACACACACACACCCTCACAGGGCATCATCCAGGTGCCTTGATTTTGAAGTCATGAGCTTTCAGCCCCACATCGATCCCGACCTAATCCGTAGGGTAAACCCTAAACGCTTGCGCCACCGAGGTCCAAAAGTCCTTCGACTCAAGCCTAATCCGTGCTTCTTCAAGCCCTTAACCCTAAACTCTAAACCCAAACAGATCTCGCTTCCAATTCGATCTGACCTTGCTCCACTTCGCTGTCAAAGTCGTTGCGAATGTCGATCCGGCGGGACAGGCTCCAAAGGGATGTTAACATAGGGGCCACAATCATTAGACTCGGTCTTCTTGAGCCCAGGGGGGCCCGGCAAGTACAATAGTAAAGCAGTATACAGTCGATAAAGGGCCAACATCACTACTGAGTTCGTCAAACCTCTAGAGTGTTTGGTTCAGAGTTCTTTTCGGGTGCAGGCTCTGTGCGGTATGTTGCTCTAGCAGTTGGGTTAACGGTTTTGTTGCTCTGATCCTGCATTATCCCACATTAGGCATGACTATATGTCTAGAGGTGCTTCTGAAGATCGAGATTGATTTCACTTCGGTGAAGCCTGTGGCTGTGCATTGCGCAAAGCTTAAAGCAGGTTCCACTGGTGAGGGCCACAGCACCCAACACCTGAGCTTGTTGAGCCACACATCCCAGAATCTCAGGAAAAACAGGAGCACCCATCTAGACTTACATCGTGAGATCGGCAATCGCAAGTACCCATGGTTTTGGAACCCCGAGCTTACCAAACGCCCCCGAAACGTAGAGCAAAGCCCATCTGTTTTGGGGCTTGGGCCGGCCTCCAGGCGTGCCTGGCCTTGCTCACGGCCAAGGACAGCCTGAAACCTTAAGGGTTTAGGGTTTAGGGTGCAAATAGGGTCTAGGGCTTGGGGCTTAGGCTTCGGGGTTTGGGGGTTCCGGTCCGAGTGTTAAACGTTTCAGGTTCCGGGTTTCGCTGGTCGGTTTATTTCACAATGCCATGAACGACTCGCAGGGGTGTGAGTGTTGGGTTCAGCCTTAAGCTCACACCACAACGAGACCGACATCCTAAGCAATTCAAAAGTTCACCCGACACCCGAAACCCGAAACCCAACTGTGAGGGCCTTTCCGAAAGTTCCCTGTCGGCCCTATGAACTTCAACCCCAACCCCTGGACCTCAAAGCTCAGAAACCCAAAAGGGAACTCTGAACTGTGTATCCATAACGTCCTTGTTACACCCTTAAACCTAAACCCTAAGCCCCACGAATCCCTAACTAGAGCCCCAAGGCCTTCCCCCAAGCTTAGAACCCTTCCTTGGCAAATTCCTGACACGCCTGAGAGCCCAATATAGAACAGTGAGCGTATAGTATACCCCTATACTCAGCCCCTAAGGTGGACCAAAACCTCTTGGTACCCGGAAGTGCTTTCGCCAGGCCGATCCAAGGATCAAGGCTTTCGAGGGGGAGACGCCCCTCCACTGGGCAGCAACCGACGGCTGTAGGGAGGCGTCGGGGTTTCTGAGGGTGGTGTTTAGGGTTTAGGGTAGGATTTAAGAGCCGGATTTCGAGACAGTCTGGTTTTGGTAGGTATGTCAGAAAACTGGAACCCTTAGCCAGCCCAGTATTGCAGGTTCCGATCTACCTATCTACCTATCGACAATGTGCAGATAGGGGTATTTCTGGCACATTTCGTGTCCTTGCCTACCCTACCCTGTTACCACACCCTACCCTATTACTGTCCCATACCGTACCACACCCTCCCGTCCGGTGCCATATCATGTCATGTCATGCGGTGTCATGTCATGCCATGTCATATGAGTCATGTCATCGTACGTGTTACGTTTTTATGTGTAATTGTACATCCTTCAGAGTTGTATACATGTCTGATGATCCTGTGTGGAGATTTACCAGCCATGCAGGTGAGAGCATGAAGCCCTGTTCCCGTTCCCACGGTTCGAACCTGTTCGGAGCATGAAACTTCACTGAAGGTCATGACTCTGCTTCTGTCAGCGAACTCGAATGCTGTTGCATGTATTTCTCTGCTTCCCTAAGATCTGTTTACGAGCTGGTCTTACACCCTACAAGGTCCGATTTGGTTCTTCGGATTCTTCGGCTCCCAAATCAAAACACACGCGCTCTTCCCTTCAAGAACCAGCAGCTTGAAACCCTCGATGTGCGATTAGTACTGCTGACGTCCCTGCAATGTGCAAGATCTACGATGAGCTCGCAGCTGCCGCCCGACGTTTAGAGGCAGCTCTGACATTGCTGCTTGTGTGGGATCTAGTCTTTGAGGTCTTTGAGGTGTCCTTTCGATAGTGACCTTGCATCACCGAAACAGGAAGCACCCCTTTACAGTAGGGCACTGTGTTCACGTGCAGTCTAAAGTTTCGTATTATGTCCACAGACTATGTCCACAGTTCGCCACAGTCGAAGACACTGTACGGTATTATGATGCAGTCGAAAGTACAAAAAATAGAACCCATTGGAGAACGACGCGGCAGACGCCCAGCACATTGAGTGCTGCACTCTCATCGGTGGTTGTATCTGTCGGCCTGGCTGCACTATCTAAGCTGAATCCAGCAAACTCGTTGATCCTAAATCCAACAGCACAGAACAAAAGTATTTCCTAAATCCGAAAGAAAAGCCTGCATAAACGCAACGTAGAATGCTACATCGCATCAGGACCTCCCAAACCCGAACAAGAATCCTGCAGCGGGATTCAGGGTGTTGTGCTTCATGCCTTCTCTTGACGAAGTTTGGATTCTTGCTCTCAGAAGTCCGGCCATACCCCCAAGCCCTGGACCTAAGAGCCCGATGGCTAGGCCGAGGAGGCAGTTCGTGGACGCCTCGTCTCAGGCCAGGGATTACGGGGCCCCTTCTTGATTCAAGAGTAATCAAGAGTTTTAGGGTTTGGAGTTTAGGATTTGAGGATTAGGGCCCTAGGGTCTTCGGCTTTGGGGCGGTGGCTTAGGGTCTACAGGGTTTCGGGGTTTACTTTGATATGCATTGGGTCTGTTTGGCATCAACGGGTTTGCCCGCACCTGCCAGCATGAACCGTGGATGGCTCTCTGACCGTAAGGCCTCCAGCAACCTGAACTACCCCTTTGAGCTCGTCCTTCGAAACCAAACAGCATAGCAGCATAACTTGTTGAAACCTGGCCTTGCAGGTGAGAACTATTCTGAAAAGTCGTAGGGTGTAGATGTATTGTAGCTCCTACCTCCGGTTTCCAGCTTGAGGTGTTTAGGGTTTAGGGTTATTAGGGGTTTAGGAAGTTTAGGGTTTCGGGTTTAGGACTTCCTTTCCTCGGCGCTTTGGGCCTCTACATAGTCTGCAGCATGTCGCTTCCGGCCACTCCTTAAAGGCTCGACCCTTGACCCTGAACCGTATCCAGCTTCCGCCCCGCGGCCTCCATCCGAAGGGCCTATAACTACGGCTGATGATATACATCCTTCATGTACCCATAGTAAGGAATAGACCAGAGTTCCCATAGTTTATTGGGTCCTTACGGTCATGCAGGATTTATATCATCAGCAGTATTCCAGGCGGGCCCCAGGTACAGGAACCGACCGCGACCGGCTGACCGGAAACTATTCTCCTCCAAAAAAGACTCTCAGCCGCTGCCCTTACTAATTGTAGCCCCACCTTGTAGTGGCTAAACCCAAACCCTTGCACTTGCACAATCCTTAGATTCTCCAAGCCAGGAACCTTCACCTTAAGCCATACTTCCTGAGCCAAAGCATCCAAACCCCAGCAATGCCAGGGCAGATACTGTAGAGCCTTGTGACTTGTAAGATCTCAGCCGCCACTTTGACCTTGAAAGCTCTGCCACCTGAGCTACTGCAACACCCAAGCTTCTCGAAGCCATGAGTCCCCGAAGCCTCACATGCCCGGTTTAGACTATCCAACAACCTCTCTGATGCCGTAGACCCGAAGAGCCTGAAATCCCAAGCCTGAAGAGGTTTCGGCGGTTTGAAGTATTCTGAGTCACTCACAACTTACATCCTGAAATCTGGGATGGTCGACGCTTACATTATAAACAAGAGCCGCTTCAACACCATGAACAGAATAAGCACCAAATAAGCTCCACAGCCTGCAAATTTCTCGAGAGCCCTCGAGAAATTCACTACATCTTAAACCCCCGAAACCCCCAAACCCTGAACCACCGAAATCCCCAAACCCTAAACCCCTAAAGCCCCAAACCCTACACCCTAAACCCCTAAAGCCCCACACCCTAAAACCCTAAACTCCAAACACTCTTCACTGTGTCAGGCCAAGGCGGCTCGACTGAGGAGCCCCCCTCAACAGTTGAACCGCTGCTGGCAGAGACGCAAAAGGCAGCGCATGAAAGGGTAGTAATATTTAAATATTTAGTAGTGTTTTAGGGTTTAGAGTATATATAATTCGTAGTGCTTTAGTAAATCATAGCTAGTATGTTACAGTATATTGTAGGACACGGTGATAATCACATATAAAAAACTTGAGTATATTATAGTACTTTGTAGTCTGTTGTCGTATATTGCTGAATCGTATCGTATGCCATTGCATTGAGTAGTATAGCACAGTATGTTAGAGCTTACTATGATCGGCAGGCTCACGGCTTCTCGATGCGAGAGAATTGTCAAGGTGCTGTTGGCTCGGTAGTAAGAACAATGGTGACAACAACACACACCATCGGACGATAGATAAATGAATAACTTGCAGGCAATAAGTTCCTTCCTTCCTTCCTTCCCGCCAGTCTTCCTACCTGCCTAACCTAACCTAAGCTAACCTAAACTAACCTATCCTAACCTAACCTAACCTACCTACCGACCGACCTACCTGCGCACATACACATCACATATACGCACATACACACACACACACGCATATATATATATATATATACATATACGTACACCTATACATCCACATACGTATATCATACATTGCGTGCAAGTGTATGTGCACTTTTTGCATGTACATGTAGTGGCACATGAATATACACATGGCATGAGTTTCGATACGCATGTGCACTTGCAAGAAATATAAGACAAAATGCATGCTTCTGTATGTGCAGATGCTAAGCATATGTGTATGTGTGTGTGTGTATGTATGTATGTATTTATGTACGTACGTATGTATGTATGTATGTATGTATGGGTATATATATATGTATATATATATATCTACATATGTATGTATGTATCTACATTTGTATGTATGCATGCATGCATGCATGTATGTATGTATGTATGTATGCATGTATGTATGGGCGTACATGTGCCTGCCCCTGCATCTTCGTCTACACATACATGCAGAACACATGCACATGTACATATACACATACATGTATACGCATACATCCACATCTACATCTACACCTGCATCTATCTGCATATCCATTTGTCTATCTATACATCTGCATCTATCTATCTCTCTGTCCATCTCTCTATCTGTCGATCTATCTATCTGCACGCACCCATGCGCACACATACACATGCACGTATACTGATGTGTTGGCACACGCATATTGCTGCACAGATTAGTAAGCTAATCGATGAGAGAATGAATGCATGAACGAGCGAACAAACGAATGAGGGAATGAGTATATAGATACACAAGCAATTACAAACAGCTAAGTATATAAGTCTGTATATATACATATATACATATATACATGTCTGTATGCAGATACATATACATCTCGCGCTGAGTATGAAAACAAAGCTGGCACATACACACCTTGACAGCCAAGCAACAGATATTCCGAGCAGCAGCGCCCAAAGGTATACATTAGAAGTTCCAAGAACATTCAGAACGAAGAAGGTAAAGTGGCGCGACGAGTAATGAATAGTCCTCACTAAGCCTCACTAAGCATGGAGCCCTTAATCTTGAACCTCCCGTCTGACACGTCGGCTTCCTTTTGATTCAAGAATCCGCGTATACACCTGTATACAGATATGCTTGTGTACATACGCACATACACACATACATACATACATACATACATACATACATACTTACATACATACTTACATACATACTTACATACATACATACTTACTTACTTACGAACATACATACTTGCATACATACATACTTACATACATACTCACATACATACTTACATACTCACTTACCTATGTGTAGATATGTATACATACACATATACATGCACGCACACCAAAGCTGATTGTATGTCAGCACCCCGCGACTGCCAGCTTGATACCCGTCAGATTCTGCGTCGGCGCCTGGTTCGCCTGGAGGCGATTGCCAATAGTGTACGACGATGTGTACCACGATTAGGGTTTCGGGCCCCGTTTCGGGCTGGGGGTTTAGGGTTTGAGGCTTGAGGTACTAGAGTGACGGCTTCTGTCCGAGTTTTGGCTTTAGGATTCGGCGGCGGGGCTTTGTTGCTACAGAGCCTAGAGCCGTCAACCCCTCTACTCGCTACTTGCATTGTCCTTCTCGATTTTCTTATTGAAATGATTCGGCACGAGGGCTCGCTCCTTTGGACGCTTCGCTTATATGGGCTTCATTGGGTGTAGGAGTTCCTGATTTTTGGGCTTAAGTGTTCACGATGTGGTTTGGCAGTAGCTTCATGAAACGCAGCTCTTCAGGTGTACACGACAGCAAAGCCACGAGATCAAGCTTTAGCTGTTGCTCATCATCATTTTCATTGTACTTGTATGACCCTTCCGCTTGTTTTTCTCACGAGTCTTTGGCAGAGGGCTTTACGGCTTCTAGGGTAGCACAGCTTTGAGGTCACAAGGCAAGGCTCTGCACTTAGAGGCGATTGAGCTACCGTGTTCGGAGGTTGAACGTGATGAATCGCAGCGCAAAGGAGATGAGGACCGTTTTCCAGTGAGAGTTGCAGCTCAGGTGGGGGAGGCTCCAGGGTTCTTCTTGAGGCCCTTATGCGATATGTGACCTGAACCCGTAAACCCGGAGGCCCTCAACCCGGAACGGATTTTGAGCGGAGGTTCACTAGAGATTCGTTGGGGTCTTGGCATTAGGGTCTGCATTACCTCGCACCCAGAGCCTGAAGGGTTGAACAACCAAACTCCAAAGAGACAACACCTTCTGGAGAAGATCATCATCCTTCCTTAGAATAGTCATGCCATTGAAATCTACGGACATTCCACTGTCAAGTAGTCCAACGCTATGCCCATCAGCATCTGCCCTCACGTGATCTCTTGAGCGCAGGTGCGCGCGCAGATAGGGCAGGCCCCTCTACTAAATCAGAGTTTAGGGTTTACCGTTTAGGGTTTAGGGTCCTGTTGCTACATCACCAGCACCAGGACTCCAGCATGTGGCTGCAGGCCGCTGGGAGCAATGGCAGATTCCCAACGACTTAAGCATGTCAAGCTAAGCTTAAGGGTTTATGGAATGTTTCGGCCCGCGATGTTGCAGTCAGGTTTTGCAGCAGTTCAGTTGTTACGAGGTCTATGTGGAGCTGCAAGTCGAGTAATTTCTGAGTGCTCGCTCTGCATGGGTTTCAAGAGTCTCTTGAGCCAGGGCTTTGGCCAAGAACACATGGTTCTTCGTGAGATACTCGCAGTGATGGCGCAAGACGGGCCATTTTTATAGTATGGAAGAGCGATGGTGACGGATGGTACATGGCAGCCAGGGAAGTACACGGCCAGGAGGGTTTGACTTTGGCTATCGTGCTCCAGTGTGCACGCAGAGACCTTGTGAGCGATAGGAGACCGAACTTGGACGAAAGACGCAAGAACGATCGGTGGTAGAACAGAAAAGGAGTGAAGTACAAGAGCGAAAGAGACGGAGACGGATAGAGTGATACAGAAGCAGAGAAAGGACAACACTAGAACATAAATACAAGATGAGTTCATAGTGGCAATGGGGCAGCAGCAAGTATTCATTCGAAGCTTCTCCGGAAGGCCGGAATGCTCGCCTTCAAGCATGCAGTGCTCCAGCCAAAGTTGCGTCGCGAGGGTGGTGCCCCTTAGCAGCACCAAGTTATCGGTTCTTGCGTTCCAACAGAACAGACTTGGGCCTGGGAGCCCGCACTCATGCGGCCTTGAGCTTAGGACTCAGGATGTGGAGTTTAGACTTCAGGGGGCCCTTTGGAGTTCATTGTGAAAAGTCGACAGCTTGCTGGGGCATAGGTTATCATAGCGCGATTCGACAGCGGTGGCAACGTGACATGGTACGAATCGTAATCGATTGCTGGAGATGCTCAGCAGCAGTAGCAGTAGCAGGAGCAGCAGCAGTAGCAGTGGCAGTAGCAGTATTAGTAGTAGTAGAAGCAACAGTAGCTGCAGCGGTGATAGTAGTGGTCGTCCTGGCAGTGGAAGTGATAGGGATAGCGTTTGTGGCTGCAATTGTGAGTCGTGATCATTGACTTCTTGTAGTACTTCTAATACAAGCGACAGTAAAAGCAAAAAAGCGAAGTAGTAGCAGCAGTACAAACGTCGCCAGCCCGGAGCTCTCACACTGCCGGCCGACTTTCCTTTGGCAATTCTGACTTCTAGTGCCACCTCACAGGAGAGTCATCCCCCATCGCCGAAGAAGAGTCTTCCGGCAAGCTCTTGGGGGACCGGTGGGGTTATGGACACCAGGAGATCCAGGGTTAGGAAGTTCGCTGAACTTGTCTCCGATTTCTGCGTTCTAGCGACCTGCTGCTTGCGGCCAAGGTAGCGGGTATGCGAAGGGCAGTACCAACTTTAGGGTTTCGGGTTGAGGGTAGTTGCAATAGGGTTCCGGGGTATATTATCGAATAATTCACATGTTTTGGTACTGATGCGGGAACGATGAAGATCTTTGCTTGTGACATGTGATCATCGGGGTCTCTATCGACCGCCTCCTTGCAGTGGGCTCCAAAAACCTGATTCTGTTTCCTGCAATCTAGGGGTCTGCATCGAAGTCTCCGTGGAGCTGTACTCTCGTATACCCCCCCCCCCCCGCCGCCACGCTGTTCCAACTCAGAGGTTAGGACTTAGGGATAAGGCCCCTGTAGTAGACAGCTTGCTACCTTTACGACTCTGGATCTGGCCGGCGGATGACTGAGATGTGAATTTTCTTTGCATGTGTAACCACATGGAGGCTCTTTGTAAACTCGGATTGTAGTGATGGTTACACTTGACCTGGATGTAGCGCCCACATGTTGAAAGTGTATCTAACAAAGAACCACCTTCTGCGGTGCAACATGCAAGCCCAATCGACTCATCTGTCAGAGAAGCTACCCACAGATCTCCGGTGGCTCAGGCAGAATCGGAGTAGCGGGATGGAAGCTTCGAGTTTGGGTCTTCTGGTTATCCGGACATCCCTCCGAGATGACACTCCTCAGCTTAGGTGCAGCCAAGAGTCGGGCTTCAGCCACAGGCCATTCCTTTCCCTTCAGTCGAGTGCAGGCTGCGCCGTACAGCTACAACATCTATTTCCTCTGCGACTACCAGTACTACTACTATTGCTACTGCTCTTATTACCATGAATATCACCACCACTACCACTACCACTACCACTACCACTACCACTACGACGACGACGACGACGACGACGACTACTACTACCACCACCACGACTACTACTACTACTACTGCTGCTACTACTACTACTACTACTACTACTACTACTGTTGTACGCTGCAACAGCAGCGGCAACGGCAATGGCAACACCAGCATGCGGTGTTGCTGCTGCAGCAGCAGCAGCAGCGGCAGCAGCAGCAGCAGCAGCAAAAGCGGAGCGACGACAACGCGAACCAAGACAAACTGCTATCACAAGCATTGCAATCACTACTACCACCCGAGTTCTGAAGCAGGCCCAACCAGCGCTCGCCGGGCGTCGGCTGTTGGAGTGTCTTCACCAGGTGGAGCTTCGAATGCACTGTATCGCCTTTTAGACGGTTTGGGGCTTGCGGGCTGAATTGCCTACGGGAGCAAGGGCTTGGAGGGAGTACTCTACAGAAGCTTTAGGTTCGATTTTCTACGACTCATGTTTCAGCACCTCCGAAGCCGGGCACCTCAACCCCGAAACCCTCCTAAAGCGCAGAATCCCTCAGTTGGTAGGGTCTTAGCAATTATCGGCAATTCCATCCGAAGCCCTTAAAGGCGCTGAGCCCCGAAGCGCTCCGAAGCGCCTTCCCTGACGCTCCAAATAGCCCAAAGTAGGCACTATTTACAGACTTTAGACCCCAAAGTAGCTAGGTAGGCCTTTGGGATAGTTTATATTTTCCCATATTGGGCTTTAAGAGGACCCTATTTGCTAATATTTTTCAGAGGCTTTAAAGGGCCAACCAGGTAGGTACTGTTTGTATACTTGGAGCCCTAGGGCTTTTAATGCCGAGAACGGACCGCAGCCCCAGGCACACGCCGGGTCTCCGGCAGCGGCTTGGCCCGGCAGACATCACCAGGCCCCGGGTTATAAGGGTTTAGGGGCTTAGGGCTTTNNGGTTTAGGGTTTAGGGTCTAGTCGGGATTTCTGCAGGTTCTAGAACGATTGTGGGTGTTCCAAAAGCGCAATACCCCTTCATTGAGCAATGTACGCTGGATCATCTTCCGGATTCTGCTAAGTCTAAGCTACCCGCACAGCGTGAGGACTATTCCTCATTAAGGAGGTGTGGCATCCTGATGCCCTAACCACCTTAGATTGACAGAGGGACAGACGGATTTAGGAATTGGGTTTGGGGTTTCGGGGGGGGGGGGGNNTTGGGGGGGGGGGGGGGACCGACACCGGGAAGTCCTGAAATCGTGAAGCTCGACCTGTTTCTGCGCCTCGACAGTTCCAGTAAGGCTAAGGCCCTATAGACCCCAAACTAAACCCTAACCTTCCAGCTAAGCCCTACAAACCCCGAAACTTTAAGCCGGCCAGCTGCAAATGTGAGGATGTCAAGAAGGAAGCTGGTTTCGGGTTTACCTGGACCCCAAAGAACCTACCTTTTTAGGGATGTTCTGTTCCTTATTGTGATTTCCTGATAAAACTCCTTAAAAGGTAGGTTCTTCAGGGTCCATGTAGGGCTTTAGGGGTTTAGTTTAGGGTTTAGGGTGACTTCGAAGCCCTCAAGCACTCACCCGGGTCAGGGTGTTGGGGTATGCCTGAAGCCTGACACCCATAGAGCCTCTAATGAACTTTTTCGGAGATTCTAAACCCCGATAGGCCTGAGACACCAAACCAGAACCTTATCCGGCCCGAACTCCCCTACATTGCACAACCAGAAGCCTTTGAAGATAAGCACAAGTAGACTGAAGAGGAACCAGCTCTCGAGCTTCTGCACTGACTCTCAGTCAGGCTTCGAGGGAAGGGATGCCAGTCTTGGTTCTTGCATTTGTCTTGTGCGTTTCTTGCTCTTGCTTCTGGCATTTTCCCGAAACTCCATCTGGACATCACGCACTTTGCACACATTGCATGTTACTAGCAAACGAATTATATTTGTCGGCTCCCACTGAAAGTTGGACGGATGTCTGCAACAATCCTGCACCCCACAAGCCATTCAACCATGGAGAGGGCTTCGCCAATGACAGTACTAAACAATCATAGTGTTAGTCATGCAAATACCAGTAGTAGAGCCACAATTTATCACAACAACACGGTAGCAGTCGTATTCAGCTCCTTGATTCAAGCCCTTGATTTATAACCCTGAACCAGGAGGCCTCTCGCCCCCTGTGCGACGGTCGTCAGTGGTGTCTGGCAGCCCCGCCTCACCAGGAGGTGGATTTGGGGGGGCTTGAACTCAAGGGCTCCTTGTTAGTAGTCTCCCTCCCAAATTAACGCCCTCTCCTATGAACGGCCCCCCATATTCGGGGCCCTTGATGTTCTGAAGGCGTCTGGGCCTTCACGTGTTGTTGGGCTTAGAAGCTTTCACCGAGGTTCAACGACAACGACAGGGTTCCGGGTTGAGGGCTTCTGGCATTGCAGCTTGAAATTTGAGCAGTTCATCCAAGCCTTCGCCCTGGTCTCAATTCACCATTATTACCATGCTTCTGGGGTTTCTTTATTATATATGCCCGAAGCCCTATTCTAATTGTGAAGGCCCCTATATTGTCACCTGATTGGGTTTGTGGTTTGCAGTTCAATACGAAACCATGCTCCTGAATGCATGATTCCACTTAAGGCCGTCATACATACTACATATATAGACGTATATTCGGAAACAAGTGGAGTTATTGGCAAAGAAGGTAATTCTGATAGTTTCAACAGAATTACGAGCAATCATAAGAATGACAACAAGTAAGAACACTTCTATGAAATAGTACCAGGAACAATGACAACACCAACACAACAGTGGTAACTCACCGAAATAACCATCATCATAGTCATACTGTTGATGATATGAATCCTGCATGACCTTAAGGACCCCAAACTATGGGGAAGTATGTTTTATTCCTTATTATGGGTAATGCAGGATTTATATCATCAACCGTACTTTGACAATACCGCTTTGGAGGCAGCTCCGGCAGTCCCAGGACCTCGCCACCCAAACTGCAGCGCACGCGGCGTGCGAGCTTAGCATAGGGGGGGTCGGAAGACTTCGTAGTGATACTCCCTTATATAAAGAAGTCTAGTGGGATTCAAGGGGAAAGGTAATCTAACTCCCCAACTAAACCCAACAGTCTCAACTCCAAAATCTTAATCCTACCTCAAGAAGATGTTCATAGTCTTTGCGGCCAACTCAAGACAAAGTCTTTGTCGGCTGCATCGCATGCGAGCCTGCGGCTAGCGTGGGCAAGTGGGGGAGATGGGCAAGGTTTTGAGTGAAAGCTTCCACAGCAACGCAGTCTTGACCGTCTAAGGGTTAAAGTTTCAGGAAAGAAAGGATCGATCGGAAGGCAGTTTCATAGAAGTCTGTGGCATGGCATATGAGCTCTACGGAACAGCCTCGCGAAGCCATTTTTTGGGGTTCTTCCGGTGCAGCTCATCCGTCCTCAACGCCCCAAGCAAGCCAACAGATGCAACCCACCAGGCTCACGCCCTTACACCGGATCGTCCGACGGCCCATGCTAACTTAAGCCTCGGCCCGAAGACCCTAGAGCCCGAAACCCTAAACCCTTGAAGCCGAAGCGGTTGAAGAGTAACCGAAAAGGAGCTAGTGACCCCTCCGGACAGCCTGAGGCTCTGATGACCACCTGCCGAACATGACCCTAAACAGACTCTGCACATGTATCCTGAATCCTTATGTCGGGGACCTCCGTTCGGGGAGTGGGAAGGTGTAGCGGGTAAGCAGTAGCCTTAGCTGGGTTTGAAACCTTAAACTCGTAGTTGCCAGGTCGGGATCAAGGGTTCAAGGTTTACGAGCAGACAATCTAGCCATCTCCAATCGATCCTCTTTGGCCCAATATGGGTCGACCGGAAGCATGAAATTTCCAGGGCGGCCGTTGACCAAAGACGCGCGACCTGCATGTGCTGGAAGGGTTTGGGGATCGATTGCAGACGGCGTGGTATAGTGCCCGACCCTGAGAACTGTTGAACTGTTCATAGAATTCAACTCTTATGAACCCAAAGGCCTTAAGTGTAAACTCTAAGCCCCTAACCCCGTAGGCCCTACAGCTCTAAGAAGATGCAGGGCGAAGAACAAGTTGTGCCATGTTTCAGCTCCGAGGTAGTAAGCACTCCGGCTTTAGGAATCTTGGATTTGGGGTTCTGAGAGCTTCAACTCCTCAAATCCGATGCCAGTCGAAAGGAGCACCCGAAGCGCAAATAGGCCCTGAACCACAAACCTAACTTATTTTGTGGGGTCCTTCTAATAAGGATCCTACTATGAAGGGTACTATATCAGGGTCCCCTGTGTTCCCTCTCATCCCTAGGGCCGATCTGACGTGCCAACCGCTCAAGGCTAGAATTCTGTTGGACTTAGCAAGGAGATTCCTGGTAGCCCCTCTTATGTTTGTTAGCAAGAAGAGTCTCTTATGTTACTTATGTTTGTAAGTAATATGATATCATATAATATAATGTCATATAATCTAATACAATATGACAGAACATAATATAAAATAATATATAACACAATATAATATATTATAGTAGAATACATCATACTGTACCCCGCTGCTCATTCAAGCCCATCCTCAGCTCCGAAGCCTGTAAGCTAACAGAGCTTCTCCTCGAGGCTCCTTGGCCTTCGCGAGTGAGGCCCCAAGAAGCGTGTAGTATCCCACCGGTTTTGCCGGGTTTAGGGTTTTAGGGTTTAGGGTTTAGGGTTTATCCCACCGGTTACCGGGTTTAGGGTTTAGGGGCAGCTGATAATTTTATGACTATCCGATGAGTTTAGCACAGATTGAAGAGTGGCTCATGGTAGTGATACTGTTTCGGTTCCCTCAGGGATCGGACAGGCTCTTCCGAGAAGAGGACAGGTCGGCTGAACCCTCTTTGGGATGTCGCCGCTAGCCACTCGCACACCCGTTGCGATACAATAAGCTGTAGGAAAACTCAGCACTCTCATGAAAAACGGCAAGCTGGGAGGCCCAGAATACTCGTTTGCTCGGGTTGGGGTTGCGTACTTGGCACCCTCAACAAAGCCGTGAAGATCAACACTAGGCTGTCTCAAGCCAAAACACGGTCAGGTGTTGGGTGCCTCATGGCGTGTGCATGCATCAAGCTTTCAATTCTTTGCCAACTCGCCAGCATAGTCAGTTTCGCGATTGTCACTTCCTTTCGATTTTCTGGAGCTTCTAGGCAGTACTAAATCAAGGTTTGTATTTCGAACAAGCCTCCCGCCACACGACTACGGCTATACACGTTACCACTCTTGCGGTTTACGGTCTCTATCAGAACCGTCTCCGAAGCTCATCCGCCAAGCGGACCCTGAGTACCCAAGACGCTTTCCCCCACGGGAAAACGGCGTGAAAGAAGGGGTTCAGGGTTTAGGGTTTAGGGGTTTGCGGTTTATGGTTTGGGGAGTATGTTCAGCTGAAGCGGCAGTCGCCACCTCGGACGGTTGCATGCCGAGGCTGTGATGCACGACGAAAGTGTTGCTGGTGTAGATGTTCTCACAGATCTATACGCATGTACGATATATGACATTCCGGTTTGTAACGGATGCTTTGGCAATCTCGCAAATCTAGAGGCTCTGCCGCAGCCCCTTGTTTTGTGTCTTCGTGGGAGCCGGGAGTCCGCAAAATTCTAAAAGCCCCGGAAGCTGAAGCTCGGAAGCTATCGACCTCGCCGGGGAGACGGGTTGGAGAACCAACGTTGGGACCAGTGCTCCAACATTTGGTCAGTTTGCTAGCTTGCTGTCGTGTGCGTATCCATTAGCAACCATCCCTCGTTCCCTGCGCTATTCGTAGGTTTATGTGACACCATCGACAACGGCCACGACTGCCACTGCCACCTCCACCACATGACGACCACATGTGATTAACACGTATCGCCATTGCTCTCGCCACTTGTAACATGTCTAACTCGACTTGTCAAGATTTTGTCGTTGCCGTGGGCAGTGGGTCGCAGGAGTCGGTGGTCGATGACACCCTGTGTTCGAGGGAGCAGTAGCAAAGGCCGCTGTTTAATATAAGCCGTCATAAGTCGAGTAGTAGAAATCCAGAAGCTCCAACTCCAGTCATTCCAGTCGACTCCAGTCGCAAATTTCAGGACAGGCCGACGGAGAATCCACGGGTCCCACCGCCTAAGTCGCCTAAGTGAACGCCCGACATACCGGCCAAAGAGCTTTTCCAAGAGTGGGGCTCTCTGCGCTGCAAAACTATACTGCAATTACGTTATGTACAGCTAAGTGCCAGTATACTATAGAATGATACTGTATTTTACTAGAAGAGAGAGAGAGAGAGAGAGACATATATATATATAATATACACACATACAAATATAATGTACAGCAATCACTATCTTCTTCTAATGCATACCAAACCACATCGCAGAACCTCTTAGGCTGCTGTCCGTCAGCATTTGGACTCAAGCACACCGGAGAAGTTGCTGACCGTTCTGCTTCCACAAGTTCAGGTTTGGCGCTGAGACGTCCACCAGAGATAATCCATTACTTGTTGATGAAGCCATCCGAGTGCTTTTTGGTTTCGGTGCGAGTCTTTCCCTGTCTGCCGCGTCTATGCCGAGGAGTGTACCCATGGTGGACCTGATCTCCTTCGTTCTCGGTGGTATCACGGTGGTCTGAGCCTTATGGGGAGGGGGGGGTCCTTATATTGGGGTCCTTAGAACAAGGATCCTACTATTTAGGGTACTATATAAGGGTCTCCTATTTTCGGAAACCACCTTATCTTCTCCGAACAGCAGCATCAAGGCTAGCAGTGACCCCTGCAATCGTGGTACCTCAGTCTTGGACGGACCCTCCTAGCGAGACGCCGGGGAAACCCTAAACCCGAAACCCTAAAGCTTGAGGCATTTGTGGCTTTGGTGGCCAAAATGGGCGGTGACTGCATGGGTGCGGCTCACAAGCTCCAGGCACAATAATTACCGGTTTAGAGTTAGGGTTGAGGGGATCCTTAATTACAACTGCAGTATAATACACCCTCTAATTGTTAAGGACCCTATGTTGCAAAGTTCATGGTCGCTGCATGTGATGTTGGAGGTGGGTCTATATTGAGCATGTTGCATTAGGTTTTTCCGGCCAGGTATACGAGATGATGCAGTCAGGGCCCTCTGGCATAAGGGATCAAAGTTTAGCACCAAATTCCATGATAGTGACGATGACGGCTAGGATTATGAAGCTGGACACAAACATGACGATGGTGATGAGGATCGCATACACCTCACATCCATACATGCTAAACGTTAAACCCTGTAGCTATTCTGTCTTCGTCTACCGAATGCTTAACCCAAGCCTTGTCAAGTTAATTTCATGACCGCTCTGCTTCGATGGACTGTCTCAGTTGGAGTTGTTGAGCATTATCGGATTGAGTTGTGGCTTTGCGGGGGCTTTGAACTTTGGGTGCAGCAGTTCAGCATTGAGATTATGTGCTTGCGACTTGATGTGAGGCTTAAGCAGAAAGCTTTTGGGATCGAAACCTAACTACCCCAAACCCCTAAAAAGTAGAATCCGAGAAGCTTGCAACCCTGACTCGAGAGCCATCTGAATCTGAAGCTGCTTGAAACAGGGCTTCGGGCTTATACAGTTTATAGATAGGGAGTTTTGATGCAGGGCTTGTGGGTTGGCTAAGACGATAATGAAAACTACTATTCCATGTGATTCCCGATACGATTCGGTTAGTATACCCCAAAACTATATTCGAGTCAAGTCCCTGAATGTATTCTAACCCCGACAACCCTATTCGAATTGTGAAGGCCCCTATATTCTACCCCCCCCCCCGCCCCCCAATTCCTGTTCGAATTGTCAAGGCCACCCACCAAAACCCTCTTCAAAAAATTCTTGAGGCCCTCGAAAAAATCCTTGAGGCCCTTTTCTCCTGTATGCCCCCCCCCCCCAACAACAAAAAAAA